CCATTACCCAAGGCGTACAGTACAGTAACCGTCCAGTATCGTAACGTACAAGGCACTCTGAACAATAAGATTATGGTTTCCTCGTCATTTTAAGTTCACCTCGCTGATCTTCTTGGTAACAAACCGCAGCCAAAAATGTATGAATTAACATTAACATCGTAAAGTAGTTCGATGCATCTGCTTTACACATTACAACGGAACTCGGGCCTCTGCTCCCAACTAGCTGTCGGTAGTGAGAGAGGATGGTGGCAGTCACACCCGACTGTCTTCTTTCTCCCTCACCTAGATTCAGTAACACAAACAGGCATAGCAGTTTGCATGACTAAATACCGATACTATATATCGCAGTTTAATCAACGCCTTGATCCCGTGGTCACAACTCAGCCAAAAAGGGATGTATTAGCGAAATTAGTTCTACTCATTCTCTACACGTAACTGGGCTCTCTTGCTCACTAAGAGTTGTAATTAGTGATTAGAGTGATTGCAGTCACACCACTCCTCTTTCTCTCTCTTCCTCACCTTCATACACGAACATGCATAGCATTTTTGGCATACTATATACAGAGAGTTTATGTCACATAACGATATTAAATATTCATAGAGAACTGGTCAACAAGCAATGCACAAACTACAATAATCAATGCCGTTCTGACTGCTAGAATCCGACTCGCAAACCATGCAACTTGTAAATACACATTAATAACATTCCTGCCTATCATCGTAGCGATTTGCCTCATTGGTTGAAAATGTGCAAATATGTGATATCGAGCAAACTAAACTTCCCCAACATTGGTCGCTTTTGCTTAAATTTTGATGTCCTTATCCAAGCTCTTGCCCCATTTTTATCCCTCTTCTCCCACTCTTCTCATGTACATCTCCTTTCCCCTTCTTCTCCTCTCCTCTCACTTTATCTCTCTCCTAATAGAGTTTGGACTATATTTTCATAAAACACGATCTAGAGTGGACTGGGAGCTCGCGCCCACGTCCATTTCTTCCTTTCACCCGCTCGTGCACCATCAACGTCGTGCGCGTGAACTGTAATACGCAGTTCGTCTCCGCATTCCGTGGATCTGTGTGACCCTACCCTCTGCCCCAGTAACCACTTCTCTCTCAGGGTGTTCCCTGGAGATCAGTACACGGCAGAGAGAGCGAGGAGAGGGAGGAGATTGGAGGAGAGGGAAGATGGCAGCTCTGCGAGCAGGTGAGAGGCGTGAGAGCTCAAACGAGGTCTTCTTCCGCTCTTTTTTGTATAAACTGTACTGCCTTGTGTCATATACAGCACCGTGTTTGTTATTTATATCGAGCACAATCCTTATGTTGGTTTGTAATATTTGTACGTCTATAGTTATTTCCATGTTCAGCTAGTGCCTTTGCTGTATTGTCTCTTTTACAACACGTCTCTCATTTTCTCATCTCTTCTTCGTCTGCCTTTCTCCCTCTCCAAACACCACATTCCCCTTTTCCTCAGCCAATCTTCAACAACCCTGGAGTGACGTGTTTGTCATATTTCCACCACCACGTGCAGCTGGTCAATGAACTGCCTTCTCAGCTCATGAGAGATGAGGAGGAGGAGGCCTACCATCGTCCTCCTAGCGGCTTCCACCCTCCCTGGACAACATTGTGAGTCACGTTGATCTGCTTTTGGTTCAGCTGTGGTCTGCTTGGATTCTGCCGTGGTGTGCATTTGTTTCTCCAGTGGTCTGCTTTTGGTTCCTGTGGTCCTATTTTGTTCTCTGGTGGTCTGTGTGTGGGTTTGAGTGGTCTGGAGTGGTCTGGTTTTGGTTCTAGTGGGTGTGTTTTGTTCTGTTGTGTTCTTTGTTTCATTACACAATGGTCTGTTGTAGTTCTGTAGTGGTCTGTTGTAGTGGTCTGTTGTAGTTCTGTAGTGGTCTGTTGTAGTCATGTAGTGGTCTGTTGTAGTCATGTAGTGGTCTGTTGTAGTTCTGTAGTGGTCTGTTGTAGTTATGTAGTGGTCTGTTGTAGTTCTGTAGTGGTCTGTTGTAGTTCTGTAGTGGTCTGTTGTAGTCATGTAGTGGTCTGTTGTAGTCATGTAGTGGTCTGTTGTAGTTCTGTAGTGGTCTGTTGTAGTTCTGTAGTGGTCTGTTGTAGTTCTGTAGTGGTCTGTTGTAGTCATGTAGTGGTCTGTTGTAGTCATGTAGTGGTCTGTTGTAGTTCTGTAGTGGTCTGTTGTAGTTCTGTAGTGGTCTGTTGTTATTCTGTAGTGGTCTTTCATTGGTCTTGACTGGACCCACACAGTTGGTGTTGGCATTCTAGGATGGTTCCAAGATCATAATACCCAACAACATCAGCTCTTTCTTGTGTTTTATCTTTCCCATCTTCCACATGCAGCCAGGGTCCTGGGATGATCTGCCAATTAAACCTGAGCTGAAGAAGGTAATGATAGAGATCGTCAAGACCTGTACCATTCACCTCCCATTCCTCTCTCCCTCCTCTCTCTCTCCTCTCTATTTCCAGTCTCTGTCTCAGAAGCAGGCCAGCCAGCAGAGGGCCATCTGGGAGCTGATATCGACCGAATACTCGCACATCAAACAACTCGAGGTCATCATTAATGTGAGTTATGTAACTAACCACACCCACTGCCGCACCCACCCTCCATGCTCTTTTTCTTTCTCCCCCCTTTTGTCATTCTTCGCTCCTCCATTTATTTGTCCGTATAGGAAACTTTTTTACCCAGTTGATTTTGCCTCCCCTCCCCCGCAGCTGTTTATGCAGTGTCTTGAGCTGGTGAGAAGAGCCAACGTGATGTCCCGAGACAACTACCACAACGTGTTCGGGGGCTACATGGAGGAGCTGTACGCCGTCCACGACCAGTTCTGGTCCTGGACCCTCTGGCCTTGTCTCGAACAGGTTCCTATCTCACTCACTTCTACTCAACATATTCCCATTAGTTATTTGAAAGTAAAATCTCTAAGTTACCATTTAATAACTCCAGATTTATTGAATTTTAACTCCAAAAAGTTTTTGTTGAAATAAACTAGTCGCATTATACCATAATGACTGCCAAATAATATTATATTGACAGTTGTTGTTGTACATCTTGTTGTTGTTGTTGTGTTTACTGTTTACAGGTCTACATATCGGGCAAGCCTCTGGACCTCTCCATCATAATCCAGCGCTTTCCCGAGGTACGTATATACACGTGTAATATACACTGGGATGACGTAATGTTATGTAAGAGGGGCAATCTTGAAAGTAGATTTTTCAATGTAAACTCAGCTCTTCCAAAACCGTTGGAAAGTTGATATTAACTAATAGCACAATGGTAAATGGTGCTACATTTCAAATCACTGTGTGTAGCTAGAGCCATACCTTACCTACACCATCCCTACTGAGACCTGTTTATCAATGATACAATTAGCCGACCTTTGCACCTTATTCCGCAGTACCCCGTGACTTAAATAGTCACACAGAGGAACGACCCCATGTAGACAATTAACCCTTTGACACTCGCTCCATTAACCCCTTGCAAGCTGTATTTCGAGGTCAACAGACAGTTGACAACAGTTGGCATTATCTTACCGATGACCTTGTCAAGTTGCTGTTTTTATACGCGTAGATATTTGGCTAAAGAGTTTGTTCATACATTTTTGAACAGTTGATAAATTGGTCCCGTGACATAACTTGCACATGATATGGCCAGTGTTTACACCGAGGGAGTACTGTTGGCCTTGTTCGCAGGGTACATGGGTACATGGCATCAGGTTTCGTTGCAACTCAAGTGTACCTCAACACCAGAACAATCTTTTACATAGGTTACATAACCTTGCGTAACATTGCAGTCCAACCATGCAAGAGCTTATAGTGTCACGCTTACTTTTGGAAAAAACGAATACTTGTGTCCCCACCTTCATTTCAGATGCTCTAAGTTCTCTCTGACATTATTTCGTAAGATCTGCGCAATAATGTTGGTGAACATGGGATGGGAATGTGGTTGAGTCAGTTTCCTTGATTCAGACGGCGCAGACAGACACGTCAGGCAAAAATGATCGCAGATTTGTCGTTGAAATAAGTAATTACGGAGCGGTAGATTAGGTGTGCCCTTGGGAGTAGACAATGTCTGGAAAATCTACACTTCCCACATTTCGCTGAGCAAAAGATTCAGAACTATAATAGTTAGAGATTAGGTAACAGAGGGCGTAACAGTGTATGGCTTTTGGTTACTGGTGACACCACCGTACAAAGTAGCCAGCTGGGGGCTGGGCCAAGGCACCAGGTGAGGTTGAGAAGAGTGCAGTATCATGTGGAGTGTTGCTGGCTCCGCAGAGTCTACGGTCCCTGGCTGTAAGGTGATAGGTCAGGGAAGAAGGCGATTGGAACACTGCCTCTTAAACTTTCTGGTCAAATAACTCTGCACTGCTACGTCTCCTCCCCATTTTGAACTTTCTCTCTTTCACTTTCTCCTCCTCTTCCTCATTCCTCCCCTTTCTTCCTCCCTCTCCTCTCTCCAATCTGTTCTTCCTTTCCCTCCCCTGTCCTTCCTTATCTCTCTCCTCTCCATCTTCTCTCTCTCTCTCCTCTTTAGTTCAGTACAGACTTTGAAATCTACGAGCAGCATTGTGCCCTGGACACAGTCAACCTCCGACACCTCAACAAAGCCATGAAGAACAGAGACTTCCAAACGTACCTTGAGGTACTCCATCACCTCTTTCCTCCTATCAAACTCTTATTTGAAGGCTCCCTTTTTGGTGGCTTCACTTTAAAAAGTAACGAAAATAAAATAACACGTGTTTCTATGGTTGTCGGCCGCCTATACTGTAACAAAGAGTATTGTGAACAATTGTGGGTTGAAATATGAGAATGAAATATTCCCACAATGATGACCAACTCGGTCTTATGTAAACACACACTCTCTCCATTCCCAGTGGTGCGAAGCTCACCCAGTGTGTCAGAGACGAAAGTTGAAGGATTTTCTAGTCATCCCGATGCAGCGGCTCACGAAATATCCTCTCCTATTTAACGCCATCTTGAAGGAGACGATGGACTCCGCCCACCATCAGCAACTGGAGCAGATTGTGAGTGTTTTTTGTGATGAGGTAGGAATGAAGGAAGGAACAAGAAAGGAGGAATAAAAGGGAGGAGAGAGGGAAACAGAAGGGAGACTTAAACAAGTATATCTCCGAACAGAATCATCACATCTCACACTGTTTTAAACAAACAAGAAGTGTCGAAACGTCAAATTGTAGGCACTGTGTCTGTTAGACCCTTGGTGCCTTCCTCCAAAGGAATGTGAAAACTGCATTCATTTGCCAAAGAGGCACATTCTTGCATTACTGCTCTTTTCCTCCTCTCTCTCCCCGACAACTCTCTCTCTCAGTGCTCAGAGGTAGACTCATTTGTCCAGTCGGTCAACACCGCGCTAGTGGCTCAAACTGAAACAGAGAGAGTGAGAGACGCCATGTCCCGGATCGTGACTTTCTCTGCCGTCGACATCCCCGGGGAGTACAGGGAGGTTAGTCATGTGATGGTCATGTGACAGGGAATTTAGTCATGTGATTAATATCCATATGGGCATAATGCAGGACAACCTGTGTCATCCCTATATACTAAGTACTACTACCATACTTAGTGATATTGAAGTTCAGCAAGACTTGCATCAAATTTTACTGTATAATAATGCTGCCATCGGTGCACACTACGTACGATTTCTCTCTCGTCGCACTCAGCTAATGCAGCCATACACCCACCTCGATCTCCTCACCCCGATGCCCGATGTGGAAATGGACCAGCCACGAGTCCTCATGTTGGAGGGAAACCTGAAATTCCGCGACACCTCCTCAAAGATGGTCGCCCACGTCTTCCTCTTCACCGACCTCCTCCTCATCACCAGACCCAAGAAAGGAGGAGAGAGATTCAACATCGTGAGACCTGTACGTCTGCAAAACACTAGATATTTGAGAATTCGGGGGGGAAATTGCTAATGTATGCTGTATTACATACGTCAGTGTTTAGATTTGTGGGAGAGTTTTGGGAGAGGGTTGGTGTGTGTGAATGAGGGGGAGATGACGTAGGGAGCCAATTTAGGTAGGGAACTGGGGAGAGAAAGAACCTACTCTATATAGAAAAATGTGTTATATGTTCGTGATGGCTTACGTGAAATGATCTACCCAATTTTACAGGAAAACCAACTGCCCTGAATGCCTTTATATACTAGGTTCAGTAAAACAAACAAACAATCCTGAATATCTTAGACTATAGCAGTGAAAATATAGGGTGGCCTAAATACTTTGCCTCTCTCTTCCTCTTCAGCCCTACCAGATCTCGTCGCTGGTACTCCACCCACTGGAGGGAGGCTCATTCCTGGTCCTGGTCCTGTCCCAGTACCACGTCATGACGTCGTGGTTTACTCTCAAGGCCACCACCGACGCCGTGGCAACCGAGTGGATGCAGACCATCTCTCACGCACAGAAATGCTACACTGCGGCAGTGGAGAAGAAGGCGCAGTATTGTAAGGTCCTGCAGAGCCTCAAGACATCAAGAATACTCAACGGACTGGAGAACAGGGTATGTATGTATGTATGTATGTATGCCAGAACTAGGAACGAGGGATGTTTGGGAATGGTTGGTACATGCCTTAGAGCCAAGTTTCAAGGATCATTTTGAGAGGCAAATTTTCAAGCCCATTCGTGGTGTCGATTGGTTTTAGTTACGCCTGCAATACTTTTAGTACTGAGTTGGAATTGTAACTGTAAACCAATATTATGATTGTATGGCATGGGAGTAATAATAATAGAATTGGAGTATGGGAATGGGAGTATGGGAATCCGCCTCTCTATCTCTACAGTCCCCATGCCAGAGTCAGGGCTCAGGTCTCCTGTCACGCCCGAGTCTGTCTCCGCCCAGGCGGAGTCCCACCACCTCCACAGAGTCTCTGGACCATGCCCACCACCATAAACCATGCCCAATACTCCCGTTTGAGCTCCGCCCAACCCAACCAATCCCGATATGCCGATCCCGCTCGGCCGATCAGACCCGCTACAAATTCCACTCCAACCCAGCCCTCACCCAAATCAGGCTGTCCGATCCATTAATGGGATGGCCCGGATTCCTCTCAACCTCATCTCAGTGGCTGGAGAGGACGTCCAGTTTGAAGACGCTCATTGAGAGGCCGGAATCAGGATTTGCGTCACCCGCAGTGTCAACAACTCAACTTCTCTCCCCCCACACCCGATCCCACTCCATGGACCACACCCAATTCCCTCCACTACCTCCTAGAAATTCCTCGTTGCCACAGCAACAAGCCCCGCCCTCCCCCGACAGCAGTGAGAGTGAAGTAAACATCCAGGAGACTACCGATGCCATGCCGCCAGATTTCGATGCCTCGTCCTCCGAGGAGCTTTTGCCTTCGCTGACAGGAGGCCAACAAAGAGCCACATTTGGGAAATGCCAGTCAACGGACGAAGATGTATATCGACCTGAACGACAGGGGAAGGCGAACGGGGATGAGGAGGAGCGAGGTATTGGAGACCTCGTTATGGTGACTCCGCCCACCCCAAGCAGACCATCTCCTAGAAGATCTGCAACAGCGTTTTCTTCGGCAAACAAAACGCCAAACTCCACTGCGAGTCAGGTGTTCACGGGAAACAAACCAAAATTTGGTCTTCAGAGAATGATGCATGGTAGAAAAGGCTCCATCGACTCTGCTGTTGCCCGGGAGACAGGCTCCGCCCACCCGACAAAACACTCTAGTCTACCGGGCTTGGCGAGCCTCAAGAATGCAATTCAAAACAGGAGAAATGCCCACAAAAACGGGAAACAGAACAACTCTCCTGGCACTTCTCCCCCGCAGAAGAGAGCCAACAAATCTGGCCACGCCCACAGGAAGTCACGTGATAATGACTCCGCCCACAGTGCCCTCAGCAAACTGGGAGGTGCAACATTGACAATCCTATGTGCTGTGAACGAGGGAGAGGGGGAGGGAAGGGAGGAGGGAGAGGGGAGGAAGGAAGAAGTTCAACACTCTGTAATTCCGACTAGTGAATCGGACACTGACAGCTTGTCTTCGTCGCCACGGACACTGGTCGTGGAATGCATCAACGACATCACAAACTTGTCGGAAGAAAATCAACACGACATAGATGCAACGAACACCTCTGAGCGTCAGAGTTTAAATTTGGAATCCGACAGTACCTCTTCCCAACTAAACCCTACCAAAAACGACGATCGCGAACAAAACGAGGCCAAAACTGGCGAAACAACCCAGGGAGGGAGAGTGAGAGAGAGGGAAGTCAGGAGCGGACCACCAATCATCCTCATCAGCCAGTTCTCCATGTCCTCCTCAGCCAGTAGCGAGAGTGAACTGAGTCAGAGTTCAGACAAGAGACGAGGAGTCTCTCCTCCCCCAGTACTGGTTGAAGAAGAATCTACTGCCGCAGTTGGTGGAGAACCCACTGGGACTGACTGGAGTCGTGGAGTGTGTGAAGAGGAGAAGGTGGGAGAGGGAGGGAGCAGGGAAGGAAGCACAGAAGAACGAGATGGAACTGACAAAAGCAAAGAGAAGGCACTTCCACGTGGAACAGAAGGTGATGAAATACTTTGTGTTGAGGAGAGGACTGACGCTACTGAACTAAGTGTCTCCTCTTCTGCTTTTTCAATCACTGCCAAGACAAGCGAAAGTCGCCACAACAGAACGAGAGAAAACCACAGTAGTTCTCTCTCTACCAGTGAAAGAAACTCTTCTGCTGTCTCTCCGGAAGCCCAGTCTATCGCTCCCTCTCCCCTTACAAACACACTCACCACCTGCAGTGAGAACAACACATCGACTCAACTCTCTTTCAACCATGACAATCAATCCTTAGAGCCACTCTCCCCATCCTCCCTCCCTCCTCCCTCTGAAAGTCCTTCAGCCACTACCTCATCTCTTCCCCCTCCAACCAACAAACCAACCAGCAACAATCCAAAGTCTCTACCAATAAACAAGTCACACGAGAGTCCCACTACTACCAGTAAGCCTCAAAGTGAAGCTACCACGAGTAGCCCCAATACTGTACGAAACTGAGTCCCATACCAACGACGACCTTTCCTTCCCAAGCCCTCTAAGAAACAGGACAGCAGCAAACCCAAGACCTTTCGTCTGCAGAAGACACATGCTAGTCCAACTGGAGCCAGCAGCGGAGCAAACGATGCTCATAGCACAGCTAGAAAACCTCGAAAAGATGGTCCAGATGCTAGCAAGATGTTGCAGCCCGTGAGTGAGTCTAGTTCATAACTGGTAGAAAGTCTCAGAGTCCTCCTACTGGTGACCCAGGCACCAGCGAAGCTACCGAAACTACCAGCCCTGCTAGGAAGTATCGAAGCAACAACAGCGCAGGCAATTCTAGAACAACAGCGCACCATTCCACTACCGATAGCCCCAGAACTGCTAGAAAGACTCGAAACGAGGCCACCATAAAAGGAGTGAGAGAGCTGCTCAAAGATATTTGAGAATGGAGACACAGCTTCTGCCACGGGACCACACCAGGTCGTCAGGAAGTCTCGCAGTACGATGACTGGTCTGAACTTTCACCTGAGCAGTTACAGTGATAATAGTGGGCGGGGTCTCCAGAATGGTTCCCATAACAACAGTCACCAGGATGGTTCCCATAGCAGCAATGGGCAGAGTGTCCGAAGTGGTTCCCATGACGACAGTGGGCAGAGTGTCCAAAGTGGTTCCCATGACGACAGTGGGCGGAGTGTCCGAAGTACTTCCAATGACGACAGTGGGCGGAGTGTCCGAAGCGTTTCCAATGATGACAGTGGGCGGAGCATCCAAAGTGGTTCCCATGACGACAGTGGGTGGAGTCTAAGAGTGGAGAGCAATTTGAAGAAGTCGGTGAGTGCGTCACATCTCCATCAGTGGGTGGGGCAGTCCAAGAGAGAGAGGGCGGAGTCAACGAGATCATCCCTACCGCCTGTGAGTGAGTCTATGAGAGTCGTCGCCAAGAAAGATAGAGCTAGTAGTCTTGATGACCTTTTGACCCCTCGCCCCCTTCCCTCCTCGTCTTTGTCAGTGGCGACAACCATACGAAACAGCGTTGTACAGATTCAGACTATTACCGACAACTACCTGTTGCCGAGGCAACTGGAAAACAAACAACATAGGGTGTTGACCTCTGGACCTGTGCGGAGGAGAAAGGATCCCGTCCCTATTCCAGTCCAGAACAGAACGGGGGAGCAAGAGCTGATGGCTGCGATGACAGAGGAAATATTGAACAATGGTCAGCTTCGTCAACGCCAGGAACTAAACAACTACCGCTCACGACCAACAGAACCAAAACTGGACCACGGCAGACCAAAAAACGACAAAAGTTACACCATACAAACCCAACTTGTACCAAAGAACAAAAAAGACAACCAAACGATTTCACCACCTCGTCCATCCCAGACCCACCAAAACAGAAAACTGACCAAAATCGACCACAGATTACCAAATGGTAGTGACCATTCGCTACATATGGTAAAGGACCTTGCTGCAAAGTTTGGTGGGAGTGAAGTCAAACGTGACACCAGTACCAAACCACAGTAGACCATCCCTTCCAGACCACACCCAAAACGGCCACGCCCAACATGGAGTCATTAGTAGGGAACATGCAGTAAAGTCGGAAGGTTTTGAATTCATGGGAGCCAGAGTTTATACTGCCACGGGGAGAAGATGGGGAGAAGGAGAGGAGGGGAGGGAGGGAAGGGAGAGGGTGGGGGGAGGAGGAGAGGGGGAGAGGAGAGATGAGGGAGGAAGGGTGCGAGGACGACCATCTATCAAGAGAGGAAGAAGGGTGACCAAAGACCATAGGCCAAAGGTCAGCAGAACTGACAACTCCAATGGAAACAATAACACCAGGAAGCCTGTGTCACGTGACTTGTCAGGTGACCACGGGTCACGTGACTCATCACGTGATTCGGGCCACACCCACCCAGTAGGGGAAACCATTGTTGACAAACATGGCACTCTGAGAACAATGTGCTAGTACAACCACACTATTCAGCTGTTTTTATGAGTACACAAAGAATTTTTTATCAATTTCATTTAAAAATGAAGTGAAATTGAAAGTTAGATTGTGAAAGGTTGATGATTGTCACTTTTACCAAACACAAATCTTCTTATCTTCCTTGTAAAACCTGGCAGGGAGTGAGAAAAGAAAAAAGAAAGTCAATTTCCAGTAGTCTATCGTTCGACTCTTGCAAAAATGCAATAAGGTTTCCGTAACTTAACCTAAATTTTAGCACTTTATAGTGGCAATAAACATAGAGTAGCACAATAAAGTTTCTGTCACATTTAGCCCTTATCATGTGCAATGTTTCCTTAAAATCACGACTGTTGGTAGTGCAACGAAGTTTCATTTCTAAATCCCTCATAATCCATCCATTTTCCCTATCACGTATCATTACTGGTGATACATAATTATTATTATAGTGATGGCCTTGTGGGGCCTCACTTCTGGAGGATCTGGCGGGTGAAGTGTCAAATCTGGACCTCCGCCGCCGAGTGAGGGCCACCGACATGATACTGGTGAAGTAGACAAAAGATGTCAACATCTGAGGAGAGAAGGGGGGGAGAGGAGGAGGAGAGATGGGAGAGAGAAAATGGAGATGTGTTATATCAGGAGTATATATAGAGATGTAGATATAGAGAGATGGGGTGCAGTGAAAGGAAAAGACACTTGATACTAGGAAAAGTTGCACAAACAAGAGAGAGAGAGTGTTGAAATGAAATGGAGAGATAGAAGATGACTGAGCAGGAACATATGTACATATATACCTATAGGTCTTTAAAATATTGATGGGGGGTTAATTATATAGACTGAGATGGAGATGGAGGCAGAAGATGGCTGAGCAGTACCTGGAGGCCTACGAATAGGTTGATGTACCACTGAATGGGTTCAATGACAGACGTCCCGCAGAGGGTTGCCGTGGATACAGAGAAAAACAACATCCTCAGGAAGAGGAGAATTGGTGACGATATGTTACCTTCTGACACCCTCTTCCATCCTTCAGGCTAATGGAACAGAGGGAGGGAGGGAGATTAGCATGTAAACAGCAGAGATCGCAAGGCAATTATAATTTTTAAGTCAATCCACTCCACCAGAAATAACAATTTTATAATGTTGTGGTGTAGGAAGTATAACTTTAAGAACCCTCTCATCCAGACACCAATGACACCAACTCCTGACATTGTATATGTCACTATGAATAAAACATAGGCTAGCTGTCTAATCCTGACACCAATGGGACAGAAGAAAGTGTCTATATTAGTGAGGTGTCCTGAGCATTATACAGTGGAACCCTCTAATCTGGACAACAATGGGATTTATGAGGCAGTGTTAATGTTAGTGAGGTGTCCATATTGTGGGGAGTGAAATGAAACTGTTCTTGGGAAAAGATGTTTTCATTTCGGGTGTGTGGTTACAAACGGGTTGAACTGTTGTAAACACGACCTCCTCGTGGAGAAAACACCTGTCAACAAGTGTGCAGCAAAATGGGCAGCAAAATGGGCAGTCACTCAAGTAAAGAACAAATATATTATAGACTGAAATACGCAGTGAATGAACTTACGTCTAGTCTGTATATCAGAGTGTAGAGTCCGGCAAACAGGAGGACGGTGGAGAGGTAAGACTGAGCAACTAGTGAACCAGACGCCGTGCGGTGGACCACCTGCTTTGCCACTTTGACTGGATGTGAGGTGTGTGTGTGTGGGGGGGATGACAAGAATTGTATTCTCATAATATTTAGAAAACTGTAAATTTGAAACTGCAACGGGTTTTCCCAACAATTCTGAAGACAGAGGCGAGTGTCTAGTAGGACTGGAGGTAAAGTCTTAAACAGAGAGGAGCCGAGAGAGAGAGAGAGAGAGAGAGAGAGAGAGAGAGGGGAAATGGAGGAGGAAGAAAGGAGTCTCTCTCACAGGAGACAAACAAGACAAGGAAGAGATGTGCCGCCTGGAGAGTCGTCAGGAGAATGTTACCCTGAGAGAGAGGGAGAGGAGAGGAGAGAGAGAGGAGAGGAGAGAGAGAGAGGAGAGAGAGAGAGAGCCCATAAAGTGAACAATACTGAAGCCAGTAGCAGTCTATTGTCTTCTAATGCTGCGGTAGAGCCCTCTATTGTCTTGAACACAAGGCACGGCAACTCCTGACATTGTACATGTCACTATGAATAAAACATAGGGCTAGCTGCCATGCATTATACACTCTCTGTATTGTACAGTATGTACAATTACATGACTGCCTTTGCTTTGGGCTTCATTCCGTATATTGAGGAACTATAAATGTGTGTCCAGATTGTCGATCGTAAAATTGAAAGTTGCTTGCATGTAGGAATGCACAGTGGTACATCATGCAGCTACACACTTTCAAAATTTATTTTCGATTTTTCCAAAATACGTTAGCCCACCACCATATCCAACTAATGCGATGATGTAATGTACCGTTAGTTCGATGTCGGCTCTTTTGGTAGAGTTGGCAAAACTCTTCTTGCCCAGTTCCTCTATGCCAGCTATGAGAGCTATACATATGGTCTGGAGGGGAGTGGTATAGGTCACGTGACAGTCACGTGATTGGTCATGTGACTTTATAATACCTGGCCCAGGAATGTCATTAGGAGGAGGTATTTGGTGACCCAGTGAGGAATTAGTGGCTTTTGTCTGAGGAGGGTAGGGAGGGAGGAAGAGAAAAGAAGGGAACAGTTATAGAGAAGCAAGAGAGGGGAGGGAGGGAGGGAGAGAATAGTGGAGGAGGGAAAGCAGTGGATCATGTGACCTTTTATGACTCATTGAATTCTGCTACTGATGTCATATTCACAGTTCACACACTACCACACACCAACACACAGACAGACACAATAGGATACCCCTCCGGGCTGCGTGTCCCCATGCCACACTCCACCACACAGGAACCGGACAACAAAACCAACAAGACCTTACGCTACACCAGATATTTTTTCTATAGAAGCCTCACTGAAACTAGGTCATGCTGAGGTGCTCCATACAGTCTGTTTACAATTAATATGCAGTGCGCAACAAGCCTAGTGTGGGGCTCACTGAGTTTCAGTTTCCAAAAACACGGAGAGAAATGGACTGTGTACATAAACAAGCTAGAGTGTTGCTGTTTCTAAAAGAGAGGTGTTAGGGTTAGCGGCTGTTGTGGCCAGAAAAGTTAATCTGCTCCAAAATATTGAGGGGTGTCCCAAACCTCAGCTATGCATTTATTATACTGAGCCCAATTTTTTTAGAACCGTAGTTCGTCATACTACCTTCTTTTCCCTACTCACCGTCTTCTTCTGATGCTTTCTGCCTCGTGAGCTGCAAGCTGGGCCTGCACCGCCTCTCTGGCGTTGTCCAGCGCCTCAAGCAGGTCTTGGAGCTCGCTGGCCGTCTCTCTCCTCCCGTACAGACTCCCAGGCGTCAGAGACGCCGTTGAAGAGAGGGACGTCTCGCTTTCCGTACGGAGAGCATTCACGGAAGGTCTGCAGGTTGTGACAGTGGCGTCCGTGAACTGAGCGGTAAAAAAACCCACCTTGTAAAGTGAGACCGCTTGTTACTGGAGGTTCCGCGGACTAGCTTGGAGCTCTCAGTGGCCATGCTGGCGTGGAGATCCTCCTCGCGAGCCAGAGCCTTATAGCTTGCTGCACGATTAGCAAAAGCAAAATACGGGGGCGGGGCTCGTTGTGCGCACGCGCGCGCACTCGACTCGCACACACGTACGTACGTACGTACACCCGCGAAAGAGAAACCGACGTTAGCTGAGGATTTCTTTTTCCCTCCCAATGATCTTCACATGGTATTCTCGCGGCACAGACGAGGTATCTATCCCGAGGAGAACGAAGTTGGATTTGTGTAAAAATTTACCAACTCGCTTCATCCGTTCTATATACCCTCGTGCTGCCAGGTCGAACTCGAATACTTATATATTATGCCGCTTGGTCTTTCTCTAATTGGAGCGCCTGCTGCACGTCAACAGCTCTGGGACCTTTGCGGTTGCTTATCCAAACTTCGCAGGCCCATAGCCCTTGCTATGACTACCGCTTGACTTCCTCCTTTCACGCGCACAACTTTTCCTTGTTTTCTTTTCACATGTGTTTCTGAAAATTCAACTGTACTATTAGGAGACATACAAACTACGACGCTAGGTCGCTACAAGAGTCCAAGAGGGCACACTGCGGAGCACTGATTCATTACACACACATGTAAAATATCACTGGACGACGACATCACTTTAGGCTGCCTTCTCTTGCTCGATTGCTGTGGGCAGAGTGAGAGAGAGAGGAGAGGGAAGAGAGATAAGACTGGGTAATTCTAATACACGACGAGGGGGGGTTGAAGCAAGCAAGCGGAAGGCCAACAACACACAAATAGGCGGATGCATACTCTACATGCCAGATTAGCCCCTACATCTGGAGCCCACGCCATGCGTGCGACACATGAGCAGCAGGCAAGGGCTGCCACTCTCAGCTACCTACGGGGCTTCGCTGCAGCTAGCAGGCTACACCAGAAACAACCAGCATTCACGGGCGCGGTAACCGAGCGCATGCTACGCAACTAACACGTCACAAAACGGCCAGGCTTGAAAGAGAACAGCGCGTCCGGTACACGCGCAGAGTGAGAGAGTGATAGAGAGAGAGAGCGGAACACACTTACTTTCTTTGGTGGGTAGCGGGTTCTTTTCCTGCGTCTCAGTCTTCTTCAACTTGTTCTTGTCGAAGGTGGTGACAGCGCTCACGTCGGGTTTGTCGCTCATTGTGGTTCTGGAATCTCTCGACGTACCAAGACACAGCTGGGGGTAAAAGAAGAAGAAAGAGAAGGGGAAAGCATAAAACAGGTGACAATTGGCTACCGGTATAGTTAGTACACATTCCTTAGGGCAATCAACGCCTAAGGGGACGCAGAAATCGAGCAAAGTCAGGCAGCAGAGAAACATAGCTCACCTCGATCAAAGACAGCTCAGGCTACGGAACCTGAGAGAAAATGGAGCCCTTTTATAGCCCGGGAACCGCAGGATCCGCATCACGCGACATCACGCGTGCCGCGCCCATGCGCATGCGCAGAAGAGTCAATTTACGCGCTCACAACTCTAATCGGAGCCAACCTTCTCCATCTTTTGAAAGAGTTTACAGTTGCCGTCCGCCATTCCTCTCCAACCCGTCGCCATGTCGGAGACGCCCAGTCTGAAGAGAGACAGCACCATGGCCGTCACGGCTCAGGTCTGGACAAGCTTCCCTGAAGGCTTTCTCTTACTATTACATCAATTGCCCGCGCTGTTGTATAGTACGCGTATATACGCGCACGCGGGGACGACGTTACAGCGTGGCCCGATGGTGTGTGGGCTCTAGGTAGCGGGATTCTGACTGAATCAGAAACGCTAGGCCCTCTCGAAACGCAACCAAATTTCCCAAAACCTCAGTTTTTTGGCGGGAATTTTGTTTGAGATTGTGGTTTTGGCGGGGTGTGTAGGAGGCGCTGGCCAAACCACATCAAATTAAAATTATTTCACCATCACATTTGGAGGCGGTGCTAAGTGGCTAATTAGCCGGTAATTGGGGGGTTCACTAGTTCCACAGTGTAAAGAGATGAAAGACTGGGAAAAGAGGCACCTGTTGAGGTTGT